AGTGCACATCCTCCAAGTTCCATCTTTCTTAGGTACTAGAATGACTGGAACTGCACATGGACTTAGGCTTTCTTGCACCCATCCTTTTTGCATCAAGTCTTCAACTTGTCTTTGAATCTCTTTAGTCTCTTGTGGGTTACTCCTATAGGCTGGTCTGTTAGGCAATGAAGCCCCTGGAATGAGATCAATTTGATGTTCTATACCTCTTAGAGGTGGTAACCCATGAGGAACCTCTTTAGGAAAAACATCTTTAAATTCCTGCAACATAGAAGAAACCTCATTTGGAAGAGAGTTAGTAGGACTTGCATCTTTGATATTATTACTCTCTTTACTCAAAAGTAAGAGCATTGGCTTTTTCAATTGCATAGCCTTTTTCACCTCTTTTTTTTTTATAAACAAATTTTGTGTTTGTCTCTCTTTTTTTCTCTTTTTTTCTTGCTCTCTTCCACTCTCTTCCCCCTTTTTCTCTCCACTTTCTTTTCTCTCTTGCTTTCTTTTATCTCTCATTTTCAAATGATCCTCACTAACTTCTATTGGAGTCAAAGGTGCAAGAATAGTCTTGCGTTCTTTATGCACAAAAGAGAATTTGTTGGTGTAACCATCATGAATAACTTTCTTATCATATTGCCAAGGTCTCCCTAGAAGCAAATGACAAGCCTCCATTGGTACCACATCACATAAAACTGTATCCTCATACTTTCCTATGGAGAAGTTCACATCAACTTGTTTGCTTACAGTCACTTCACCATCCTCACTAAGCCATTGAAGCTTGTATGGCAACGGGTGAGGTTTGGTTTCCAAACCCAATTTTGACACCATTCTAGCACTTGCAACATTGGTACAACTCCCTCCATCAATAATTAAAGAGCATACCTTTCCTTGGATAAGGCATCTAGTATGAAAAATATTCTCCCTTTGACTATCACCCAGGTCTTTTGCTTGGCTACCCAACATCCTTCTTACCATAAACAAATCTCCTTCCGGTATTATTTCTCCAATATACTCATCTTCTTCATCATGTGAGGCAGAATCTGAAGAAGACTCACTAGTAATCTCTCCATCCTCTTTAAGTAACATAGTCTTCTTAGTTGGACATTCTGAAGCTATGTGACCTCTTCCCAAACACTTGAAACATTTTATTTCACTATTCCTTGTCTTCTTAGGGGCCTCATTGGACTTAATTTGAGTCCTTTGAGGTGCAGCAGTGGGGTTGCTTGATGAAGTACCTCCCTCCTTCTTATTTCTGTCCTTCCAACTTGAAGAATTGAAATTAGAAGAGTTTTCCCTCATGACACCCTTTCTCTTGAGTTGTTGTTCTACCTTACTAGCTTGATGCACTAAATCCTCCAACTCCACATAATTTTGCAACTCCACGATATCCCTTATGTCACTATTCAGTCCATGCAAGAAACGTGCCATAGTAGCCTCCCGTTCTTCACTAACATTTGCTCTAATCAAGGAAACCTCCATCTCTTTATAATACTCATCTACACTCTTGTTGCCTTGTGTAAGCCATTGACGTTTATTGTGAAGTTCTCTATGATAATGGGAAGGAACAAATCTTCTTCTCATTAGCCTTTTCATCTCCACCCAACTATCCACTAATGGTTCTTCATATCTTACCCTCTCCTTTTGCAATTGGTCCCACCAAATGAGAGCATAATCACTAAACTCCATGGCTGCCACCTTCATTTTCTTTTCTTCAGTATAGTTGTGACATGAAAATAAATGCTCAATCTTCATTTCCCACTCCAAATAGGCCTCCAGATCACTTTTTCCTTTAAAAGATGGTATATTAAGCTTCACCCCTTTAATTATATCCTCTCTAGCAACATCCTCATTATCTCTTCTTCTCCTTCTTTCATCCCTCCCTCTATGTCCATTATCATCATGATTCCCTTGATTTTCTAAGTGTTCAATTCTCAAATATAAGTCCTCTGTTTGCTCCCTCATTATCGTTTGCGATCCATAATGGCATCGATTAGCAACCTGTTTTCTCTCTCACGAGGAGGGCTACCTTCACCACCTGCACCTGCCATAATTCAAGGAAAAGAACAAGAATAAAAGAAATTGGACCTCACCACTCGCTCACGTGTTTACACTCTTAAAATGTATTACTCGTGTTTGTTGCTCTCTATTAAGGCTTTTGTGTAGTGTGCTCTCTTGCCTTTTTCCTCTCAATAGCTCTCTTTAAGTTCTTAACATAATCTCCAAGAACACTCAAGAGTACAATCCCAAACTCAAGAATTCGTAATGACACAATACAAATTGGAAATATGTCAAAGAAGGCAAGACAAAGAAAACCAAACCAAATTGAAGGAATTATTCAAGAAGACACTTTGGACCTGATTTAAGAGTAGTAGTATGTAACTACGCTTAAATAACAAGTAGTTGTATAGCATATATATATATATATATATATATCTGATGCTTCAATAAAATGGAATTTGTAATTTTGGAATGAAAAATTCAGATTGCAGTAATGCTAAACTGAATTTGATTGAATTCCCCACAAAACAAGCTATTATTTAACACACTAACAACATACTACTCAAGGAACATGGATCGAAAGGATTAAAAATCAGGAACAATGATGAACATAGGATGAACCTTAAGAACACAAGTGCAGAAAATATGAACACAACAAGAAATTGAAACAAACAGAATATCAAATGAACAAATTAGGAACCAACAACAAATACTAAAAACAGAATTGCACAATTCAAAATTAAAAACAAAAATACTAGGGATTAGGGTTACCAAATGTGTGATCAGAATTGATGGAATCAATGGAGAAAATCAAACCCAATTCCAATCTTAGAACCTGGCTCTGATACCACATGATATGATCCCCAATAGGAATGGAGGAATGGATCTACTAGGAATGGAAATTCTAACCCCAAATTCATCCACCAACACGACCTGTTAAGAACATAGCGTATCTCACGCTACAGACCTCGGAATCGGACGTTTCCAAATCGAGGTGAAGATCTCTTTCTGAATCGCGACTTTGACTCAAGAATCACCGAAAACTGACGCGTATATCAGAAGATATGAACTGAGACTATTTTGGATGAAAATTGAAGGTTTGGGTGATAGGGTTTGATACAAGAATTTGTGAACACAATCAAGAAACGATAACTGGAAGGCGCCACAATCCAAAGATTGATAAGCCTATGAACGCCACAAGGATTAGCACCCTTGATAAGTTCTGAGATTCTCAAAAGAACCCTAGAGAAGCTAGTCTCTCACCAAAAAAAGGTTATATTTTTATTCTGAAATTTCCCCTTCAAAAGCTATGGTGTTCCCTTATATAATGGGTAACATCCATATTGAGTTTAACCTGAAAGTGCTTACACATAAAAGAAAATAGACAGCCCAATAAGCCTTATTACAAAAGTTTAACTGAATATAAGAAAAATAAAATTAAGTGCAGAATTTGGGCCAAGTAAAAATAAAGCCTTTATGCATATCCATTGAGGCTTATTCTTCAAAGTCTTCAATTTGAATTAAGTGTATCATTTTGGGCTCTTCTTCCTTTAGACTTGGGCTTGTCTCAAGTAAAGTGGTCACCAAGAGATTTAGAGCCTCTTTAGCCTTTTTAGCTTTTGCTCTTGTCATTGGACTCACTGTGATAGCATTCTAGAACTTGCTCTGTTTCTCTGTTATGCATGTATTGATTGATATAATAAAGGCATTTTGTTCTTGTTCGCTATTGGCCAAAAATAACCCACCTGTATGAATTTTTCCATTGTTAGCCCCCTTGAGCCTGAACTTATTTGTTGTTAAATGACCTGTGGCCTGATTGATGGCTTAGCCTATATCCATATGACTTACCTTGATTGAGATTGAATTACTGAAATGTTGAAAACAAAATAAATAAATAAAGGTAAGCTCCACAGAGGTCAAATAATTAGGGGAGGTAAAATTTCATCTGTGCCCTTAAAACAAAAAGTTTTGAAAAAGAAAGAAAAAGAGAAAAAGAAAAAAGGTGAATGTAAAGAAAAGGTGGATGATAGGAATTAATTCCCGAAATTCTGTGGGAATTTGAGTGGGAAAAAAATCATTAAGTTGAATGTGTTAAAAATGAAATAATATCAGTTTTTCAATCTCATTGTTGTTTGAGCTACTAACCATAAATTCCTACCCTTAAGCCTGACCAAGTTACAACCTGTGAAGTCCTTTTGATCAATTATGCATGTGTTAATGTTCCTCATCTTTAGGAACTTGAGAATATGATCAAGCTTATGGTAATGTTATTGCTGTGATGGATTGAGTGTTTATTACTCCCTTAAACACTTGAGTGCTGAGCGTTATATGATTATCTTGGTGAGGAGTGTTCAAGTTAGATTCTGACATGTTCATGAGCAAGGAATTGAAGGTTAATTAATAAATATTTTTAGATAATAATTTATCCGAGTAATTATATGAATAAATATTGTGAATCAATCCAAAGTAAGAAGTGGGGATTATAAGGTGAGGCACTCTAGCTACAATAGTTTTCTCATATTTTTTAAATCAATTCTCATTGTTACTATTTTATTTCTCTTAAATAAAAATATAAAAACAAGTCTTTATTTTTATTTCATATTGTTACTCAAATTCAATTCACAATTTTCCAAACAAAAAACCGAGTTTTCCAACTTAAGGGGACTGGTTATTGTAGTACATGGTTTACAATCCCTGTGGAGACGATACTTTACTTACTCATTACATTACTTGTGCGATCGGTATACTTGCCGGACAGCATCACATGCTGACTTCAATTTTTGAAGCATAAGCAAAACCTATTCACATTTTCCTAATCCAAGGACAGTTCCGAATTTCATGATGATCCATACCCCAAGTTTACAAATCAGTTTTTAGATTTTCATGCATTAGGATGACTGTTGTTCAAGTGAGCAGAATGGGTAGGCATGACAAAGAAAATAAACTTCTTCCTACATCCTCAAGAATGCCGAGACAGAGATGGTACAAGGATTGATTGGGGATTGACTTACCTCTTCTTCTCTCCAAGGTTTACGCCTGCAGTCACATGCAGGGGATTTATCTCCTCTCCAAGGACCGATTTCCAACTCCTTGATGGTGGTTGTCTTCGGCTGGACAAAGAGAAGGAGGATGGCTGTGAACTTATCTGTGATTCTGCATGTTGGAGGAAAGCCTCATCAGCCGAACATGGTAGAGGAGACAAGGAAACAACAGCAAAATCCTTCACTTCCTAAATGAGGTCCTCGGCCAAGCAAAGGAAAGGGAGGAGATGGAAGCAAGATGGTGGTTCTGTTCCTGGTACAGCTTACGATTTTGAGGAAGTTGATGAGGCTGTGTTTGATTTTTGTTTTGTTTTAAAAAAAAGAGCATTCATTTTCTTTTTCAAGTTTTGCTCCAAATCCATTCAACGTACAAGAGCGATAATGGCGATAGGGATTTTTGCTCTAAGTCAATAGGAAAGTGTTCACACAGATTTCTTTTTCTTTTCTTTTGTTAGAGTATTAGTTGCAAGAATTCAGATACAAGTCATTTTCATCAAGGAGTGTACAAAGACAGAGAGAGAGAGAGCGCAATAGGGATAAGGTTGTCTCTTGCCCAACAGGAGAACATGCAAAGAATTCCCTTCCTTCTTATTGGAAGCATGTGGTGGCAAGGCTAATTCCTTTGGATGCTAATACAAGTGATTAAGATTTTTCCTTTTCTTTTCCTTCTACCTAGCGCATGAAAGGGAATGCAAAGATGGACATGTGGTTGATTCTTTGCCAACGGTGGGGCATGAAGGCAGATCTTTTATTTTTGAGAGACAACTAATGATCCATGGTTAATAAAAGTTTGGGCTGAATCAAGCCCTCCACTAATGGCTTTGGGCCGAGGCACCAATGGGAATTGAACGCTAAAATTCATCTAAGCCACGTAGTTTCATGTAGTTCACCAAATATTACCTAGGATTTCATTATATGTTGTACTTTAAATATTCTTCCCAATAATTATTTTTTTATGTTCCCACAACTTAATAATTTAGGTTCCTACCTATATGGTAATTAAAAGTAAGACCACCCCTTTTTAACTAATGTTTTAAATCTTTTAAAATATACAAATATACTCGCTAATATTATCAACACAAAATAATTTCCCTTCTTAAATTAAATTGTAACATCCCACGAATTTAGGAAAATACATAAAATATTATAAGGCATGAGGATGCCTATGTGAGAAGTCGAACTACATGAGAGGTTTGTTTGATATTTGAATTTTATGTTAACATATGTATTGTTTGCTAACTATGTAACTATTTTACCTAGAGAGGAATTAAATTAATTTGGGGAGATATTTGAAGTACAACTATGTCAAGTATATATATATATATATATATATATATATATATATATATAGGCATTTGAACTTTTAGTAATAGTATGTTAATTATATTAATAATTTGATTGATATATATAGGATGCCTAAAAATATTTAAAAGACAATGGAAATTAAGAAATTGTGGGCTGATTCATAAAACAATAGGACCCATGATTTTAGTACCCACAATGTTACTTGGCCGAACCTATAGGGCCTTAGGGGGTGTCCATGATTCAGCCCAAACCCTCTAACATCTTGTTCAAACCTTATCTCCTCCTACCACTCCAATAAGGCCGCATTCTATTGGAAGTAATCACACATGGAAACTTCTATCCTATCCCGTTCAGACTCACATGTGCGCCTAGATGAAGTCAAAAAGTGGGCTGATGACTTGCTGCAACACACCAACTCAATCAGCCTTTGAAAACATGCAACCATTAGGAGAGAGGTGGGTTGCATGAGTTTCTATTGGACAAAAATCTCACCTCCTCTCATATCTTCCTTTGCGCATAAAGGGAGGAGAAAGCCTTGAAATTTTCTGATCCTTTAACCTTGATGGTCAGTCTTATAACCTCACTTCCCCTCACCCCAAGCGCTGAAATAGCAAGCAAATAACAAACTCGTCTCAGTTCTTTCACCACACCAAAAACCGTGATCTTGAGGCACCAAGAAAAGAATGGTTAACCACCATCTCCACCTTTGCTAAACCGTGGCACCTCCTTAATAATATCATGAGCATTAGTGGCTAGTTTCACATTGCTCTTCCCCTTTTGAAACCGAGGACTCCTTGAGGAAGGAACACGGATAGACAATATCTTCTTCTCCTTTCCACTGCTGGCCGAAGGCTACTTATCAAGGAAGTGAGTTGCTAGTCCTCCTTCTCACCTCCTTATATTCGCACAAGATTCTCATGAGACTATTCTTGGTTGCATGCGTAGATTTTATGTTGGTGAAGTCTCTACCTCCTTATACGTAGTTAGGCTGGACATTTGGAGCATTGGGTAGCGGAAGCTTTCTTTATGTTTTGAGTTGAACTCTTAGTTGTGGACAAGAACCGTAAGTAACCTTCTACTCCCTTGTGTCCTTGTTCGGTTTTCAAGTATCTTTGGAGGGCTGGATTATTCTGTTTCGTTGTACTTTAGCATACTTTGAGCTAGCATGAATTAAAATAAAATAAGATAGCATGTGGCGCACCATGTATGAAGTATATGGGTTTTGGGATAAAATATCTTTTATGTTTGTTGAAAGAAAACCAATTCTGCCCAATAAATGTTGTTAGGTATTAGGTCCTTTTTCTAATTTAATTTACAGCATGTGGTTAGGTTGCTCTTCTTATTCTCCTTATCTTGTTGAGCAAAATCCAAATTGACATCATGAGACCCTTGTGTGGTTAGGACCGATTCTATTTAGTGAACCTTGATGAGTTGAACTTTGGAAAAATTGTCATGAATTCCTATGTGTCAAAACCGGTACTGTTTTGGGTGTGTCATGGGAAATTTATGGTGAATGCAGAGTCTTGTTAAGGAATGAAAGCATGGGGAAAACCGTGTAAATATGCATGAAGGGACGTAGGAAAAACATTGGATGCTGTTGCTGTATAACTTTAATTAAAATGAGATGAAGTCAAAAAATTGTTTCCCGTAAGAGAAGCCTTATAACCGAACCTTGCATGTTAGGAACCTTAAGTTATCCTCACTGTTAAATGTTGGTGAAGACTGATTTGAAGGCAAAATAATTTTTGAAAAAACAACCATGTTGGCCGAGGGGGGGGGGGGGTGCATGTACCTTTAAGTAAAGAAATTTGTTCGTAACCTATAGGAATAACATGTAACGTATTCTGATTAATTATACTTATGTATAGGTGCGCAAACTTCGTGAGTTGTGGACTGTTTTGCGGCTATTTGGTAAAATTAAATTGTGACACACGTAAGGTAAGTGTTAGGTGGTTAAACCTATTGTGACTATTAATTTAGATTATGGAATTTTTGAATTGTTGCTCTCATATTTCCGTAACAAAATTCTGTTTGAAGGCATGTGAAATCTGATTTGAATATGACTTGAGGAAAATTCTGTTTTGTATACACATGCTATTATGACTGATGATGAGGAGCATGAACATCATAACTTTGCTTCTTGTCATGTGTGTGTTAAGCAAAACATAGCATCTCGTGCATCCATCTACATACAGTTTTGGAAACAGAAATATTTTATGAAACTAAGCATATGTTTGAGCACGCATCATATAGGCATCCCTCCTGTACCAGGAACAGGGACACTTGGCTTCAGTCCACATAGGTCACAGTTGGAATTCACCTTTGATGGGAGCCAAATATGGAATATCCACTGTACTGACAGTTTGTACGTGCACTGCAGCTATGAACGTACAAACTACTGGCGTTATATACGCACTTGATTAGTATTCTGGCGTTATATACGCACTCTGATGATATTTTAATATCTGTTCGGAATTTATTTGATGATGTGACAATGTTGGAAATTCTGGATTTAAATTAATATTGTTGCAATATTGGATTTTCTGCCACACTACTGGGATTTTTCTCATCCCTTTGGGGTTGCTATTTTTACAAAATGGTAGGAGGACGGAAGAGCATATGAAGTCATGATTATATGGATATTTGCTGTTATGTGCTGCTGTTTGGACTTTTGTTGTTGCTGTTCATTTGATGGATGACTGTATTAAATTGAGAAATTTGGATAACTGTTGGATTATGATTTTATTGTTGATTTAAGACTTTTATAATCAGCAAGTATTTCGGAGGGTAAATTCTAGAAACAGTTTGCGAAAATAGTTTCTGACGTTTTATTAAGAGATGAATTTCGAACAGTTTTGCGAGCACTTTGCGAGTTATGTTACGAGGGGCAAACGAACTCCGATTTACTATTATTTTATATGCACGTGAAGCCCCAGACGTGCTCTTTCTATATTATATGGAATATTTTTTGAATCATCGAAACTGATTTTACACGAATTTTTAAAGACAGCAACGTCTGCCAGGAAAATTACTATTTTCAGCAAGTTAAGAAATTTTGAAAGCATACTCTGATTTTTTGTAAGGAACCCAATTCCAATTACAAGTTTTAATTAGCAACATCAAAATGATTTTTCAGTACTTAAAATATGACAAAAGAACTTTAATTCCGCTTAGCAAACAACTCTCTTGGAGGCCTACAAGGGAGGGTGTTACATAAATCCACTCTATACATAAATTTAATTCGAATTTCAAGCATGCTTCACATCCTTAATTATAATTTATAGAAGTTCCTAATTATGCGGGATGTTACAAAGATCATCTCATGATCTCTTTTACTATGCATAGATTCCCGAGTCCCATAAATGTCATCCTGATTTCTCCGGTTTACAGATAACCTAATCCCTCACAGAGATTTGACGAATTCCTTCAGCTTATCACCCTAGGTTTGTGTTCTTTCAGGACATGCCCAAAGGTATACCTATGAATCTCCATGTTTCAAGCAGACGAGGTATACAATCAAAATAAGCATCTAGAGCATAGTCCAGGTGAAAACTTCTGGTCTAAGGAAAGACATACCCAAATAATAAGAAGCTGCTCTAATGATACTATTTGTGAGATTTCCTCATAGAGCCTCTTTGTGGGTCTGTTCAGTGCGAGCTATACCCTTATAGGTCCACTCATGACTTTATCTAAGACATCTCCATATCTAAAGCTCGTGAGGTCTTTACCTTGTATCTACAAGTAGATAAGCCGTGCTAGTCTTTACCCGAGATTACTGATCCCCATTCTCAGTGTCTCTAGACTAGGAACATAAAATTAGGAATAAACATCTGGTATCCTTGAATTCTCATGATCGTGATCTCATCACAGATACTCAAGAGATACCTATTCTATTCCAAGGGGTTTATCCAGTTACTCATATAATATATAAACAATGATATTGAGACAAAATATGAAACAGGATAAAGAGTGCTTATGATTTATTTGCGACAATATAAAAGGTACACAAATGTCCTAATCTAATCAAAATATTTTCTCTAGGAATCCATATACTAACACAACATATAATGATTATGAAATTTGGCAAATGGATGTTAAGAATGCCTTCTTGAATGGGTTCTTGGAGGAGGAGGTGT